AGTTGGTAGGGGTTTGCCCGTCTGTTTGCGGGTGAAAAGCTGTGCTCATATAGAGGTGGGTGCCCAACAGGCGAAATGTTTCCTTCCAGAAATTACTTGTGAAGCGAGAGTCCCGGTCTGAAATAATGTTCTTTGGAAGGCCGTGCTGCCTGAAGACGGTAGCCACAAAGAGGCGGGCTACATCTTCAGCTGTAGCGGTTGTGTGTGTGGGAGCAAAGTGCGTCATTTTGCTCAGCCGGTCCACGAACACTACAATCGCATCGTGCCCATTGCGGGATGTCGGTAGCTGCGTAACCAAATCCATTGTCACGCTTTCCCACACCTCCGTTGGAATGGGAAGGGGCTGCAGTAATCCACCCGGCTTAGCATTTGTTGGTTTGTTACGCTGACATTGGGGACATGATTTGACGTGTTCTTTAACGTCAGAGTCAAGCCCTGGCCACCAATATGATTGTGCGATCGCTTGTTTGGTGCGGTCTATACCGCGGTGGCCTGCGTAAGGGACATCATGATACTCGGTCAAGATGGCTCTTCGCAGTTCAGCATTTTGAGGGACATAGATCTGGTTTCCCCGATACCAGAATCCATTCCTTCGTTTTAACTGCAGCTTGGCTACTCTTGATTTAGCAAGGTTTGGATCACCGTCGTACCCGCTTTTGATTCGGTGTCCCAAGTCGCTGTCCGCCAGCGAGGCCGTAAGCACATTAAGCACCGTGTCGTGAACCCGACTAATAGGGTCTGCGACATTAATCCGTCCGGGTCGGTACTCCCAAGTGAACTGGAATCGAGACAATCGTTCCAACCATCGAGCTTGCCTTCTGGAAAGTTTATCGGCGCTTTTCTGCTCTTGCAGATAGACCAAAGGTTGATGGTCCGTTACTAGGGTGACATGACTCGCACCTTCCAAGTAACAACGCCATTCTTCCATTGCCAGGACTGTGCCCAAGCATTCTTGGTCTGTGGTGGAATAATTGTATTCCGCGCTGCTGAATTTAGAACTTGTATAAGCAACTGGTCGGTCGTCTTGTAACAAGACAGCGCCAGTGCCATGCAGCGACGCATCAGACCAAACTACGAAGGGTTTGTCAAGCTCAGGGAGTTTTAATACTGGTGCGTTTGTCAAGGCATCTTTCACACCCTGAAAGGCAGTATCACACTCCTTTGTCCAGTGGAAGGGCACTTTCGCACTTGTTAGGGTTGTGAGGGGGGCCACGAGAGAGGAATAACCCTGGATGAACCTCCGAAAATAATTGGCTAAGCCAAGAAACGCGCGCAATTTAGAGGCGTCGGTTGGTACCGGCCATTCTTTCACAACTTTAACTTTGCGCTCGTCTACTTTCAAGCCGTCACGGCTGACTACGTGGCCCAGGAAGTGCAGTTCGGTCCGGTTGAACTGACACTTAGACATCTTTGCCTTGAATTCGTGCTTTCTAAGCAAGGACAACACCACCCTTAGGTGTTGTTCATGCTCGGCCTTGGTCTTACTGAAGACCAGAATGTCGTCCAAGTACACCAGCACAAATTTGCCAATGTGTTCGGCGAAGATCCGATTCATCACCGCTTGGAACGTAGCAGGGGCGTTTGTGAGTCCAAAGCACAGCACTTTGAACTGGTATTGGCCCATTCCCGGAGCGATAAAGGCCGTTTTCGCAACATCCTCTGGTGTAATGCGAATTTGGTTGTAGCCCTGCTGTAAGTCCAGGGAACTAAATATCTTAGCCCCTTGGAGTTGATCGAAGAGGTCAGTAATGTTTGGCATAGGATAGCGCCGCTTGATCGTGATTTTGTTTAACGCACGGTAATCCAAGACGATGCGAAGGCCCTGACCGTTAGCTTTTTCCACAAAGATAACGGGTGCACCGTAAGGAGAAGTAGAGGGTTCTATGTAGCCCTTACTCAACAATTCGGTGACCTGTTTGCGGACCTCTTGGCGCTCTAATTGAGTCAACCGGTACGATCGTTTAGCGGGCGGTACAGCCCCTTCCAGTAATGGAATCGTATGACCTACTTCGCGATCTGGAGGAAGGCCTTTGAGCTCTTCGAATACGTCCTTGTATTCGTCAAGCAACCCTTGCAATGTTGCTTCGGGGAGTATGTCGGTGTCGGGAGGAAGTGTCTCCGCAGACGCCGAGGATTCAGAAATGAGCTCAGATTGCACAAGCATTAAATAGCTTCGTGCGCCTTTGGCAATCCTCCGTGCAGCTGCTTTAGCTGACATCGTTTCCACCGTACTCGCAGCATAGAGAGTGGCGGTAACGTAATTCATGATGGCAATACCATCTAGGTGATCGTCGTCGTCTGCTGAAGACCAAAAGGAAGGCCTCAGGACAACAGTATCGCCGGTAGCTTTCCGTACTGTAAGCGTGTGTGATTCCCAACACATTTTCGCTTTCTTGCGCTCCAACCAGTCATCAGCGAGAATAATTTCAACGCCTGGAACACCTTGCTTTAAAACAAGTAGTGTGACTGTTTCATGAAAGGAGCCTATACGGAGCTTAGCGGTAATCGAGCCATTGATAAGCTCATGAGTTCCGTTCGCGACGCGAACAGTAGAGATAGTGCAAGGACGGACAGAAAGAGCCATCCTGCGGACAGCTTCGAGAGAAATGAAGCCGTCGGCAACCCGGCCGCAATTGGCACCGGAGTCGGCAAGAACTTTGCACGCCGTTTGACACAAGCGAGCATCAAAAAGCATAGTGCGGCCATTGCTATCCAAGCTGTTAAGCTGCACCGATTTGGACGGCG